CGCCGTGAAGTTGAACTTTGTGTTCTACTGTTTTCTCACTTCTTCTGCTTCGCCGTGATTTTTAGTACTTTTACTACGCGCCGTGTTTCTTTATTTCGTGTGTTATTCCTTTTTAGTTTATATTATATTAAATATTATTATATTAAAAGTAAAGTGTTTTAATACTACAAAACAAGGTATTAAATATACATATATATTCTGTGAATTTAATATTATCTAAATGTGAACAGAAAAGAAATATTAAAAGAAATAAAATTGATGTTGGCGTGCTTAGTTTTGTTTTGTTGTGTTTTGTTTATAAAAATAAAATTGTACAAACATGAGTGTTAAATTGTTTTGTGTATTATTTTATTTATATATATTTCAAATAGATCTTTGTTCAATAATTAAACGTGTTTTCTGTGATAAGTGTTACATTGTTTTGTGTTTTGTTTTATTTCTATATAATTGTAGAAAAATAGACATTTGTTTAAAATTTACACATGTTTCGCCGATAATTGTTCATTGTTGTTGCGTTTATAAGTGTTCCATTCATAAAAGTTTTAACCAAACGTTGATTTTGTTTTTTTCGTATATTTTTAGAATTTGCACATTTCATGTAGCGATGCCCGCGGCACATTGGCATCGAGGATCCCAGGTAATGTCCATGATATTTCAAATAAATATTTTAATTCAATTTTATATTTTCCAGTTAAGTCGCCTTCAGTGATTTTCATGTGAGTTGTTAGATATATTATGTGTAGTGGTGGCGGTTATTTAACACACAGACTGTGTTTTTCTCTGCTTCTTGTTTTATGTAGCACAGAAATTTACTTTGTAAATTTGTGTCGTTACATTTCCCTCCTTCTTCAGAACAGAAATTAAACTAAAACTTTATTTTAATGATACGTTGATGACCCCTCGTCGGCAAATTTGCACTTGATACTTCTGATTTTCCATTTATCCCTTATTTTCCATATGATACATGCTAATACTTGTGTTACTAATATTCCTTTTAGAACGAGGCTCGATTTCTCTTTCTAATCTTTGGACACTTGAAAATTTTGTAATACTCATCTTGGTTGCTGACATGATGATGGTCATCCTTTCGTTTAAATGTACCTAGACGTTGTACGAAAATCTTTGGTTTGTTTCCTTTTGTGCTTGGTTGACTGACGTTCAATTCCTCTTGTGGTGACCATGTTTCTTGTTGACTGTCATGCTTGACTTTATCCTTTGCTTGAATTCCTTGGCTTGGTAGTTCCGTGTTAAGTTTACTATCTGAAACATTGATATCTAATGGATCTAATGACTTCGTAGGTTGTACTTGACGATTGTCCGCTATTGGCGATACTGTAGTAGAATTCCTTTGTGGCGATGTGGTTGATGACGAAGATGATGGTGGACCGGACTGGTGATTATCTCTTGGTGGTGCTTCTCGTGGTGACTGTGGCTGATTAACCGAAGATGGCGGCTGCGGCTCAAGTTCTTTTGGTTGTACCGATGATTTGAAATTACCTTGCGAATGACTCTGTGACGTTTGCGATGATGATTTAAGATTACCTTGTGAATGCCCCTGTGGCGTTTGCGATGATGATTTAAAATTACCTTGTGAATGATCCTGTGACGTTTGCGATGATGATTTAAAATTACCTTGTGAATGCCCCTGTGGCGTTTGCGATGATGATTTAAAATTACCTTGTGAATGCCCCTGTGGCCTTTGCGATGATGATTCTGAACTTGTAGAAGTTGGTAGTACTGGATGATTGACATGCGATGACTCCGGTACTGTCATTAAACGTTGTGGCAGTGCTGGACGTGATGATAAGTCATGCTCTTCGGTTTGATACTTTTGCTCTCGTGGTTGCGTATTCTGATTGTAGTTAACTAGCGACTGTTGTGCATATGCTTGTTGATAACCTACTTCTGGACTTTCCCTATGAGACGTTGAACTCTGTGGAGGAGTTACGATGCATTTATGAACTGCCTCCTTGTGTGGTTTTTCCTGTAATGGTACTAAGTGTGATTGTGAATTACTTTGGTGTGGCATATTTAGCGTTGGTAGTATATTTGTTATTGGCCTACTAATTGCTGTTGCTTGTTTTGCGTCTGGTGGAATCGGTTGCTGGTTACTCCTCAGTTGGATATGATGATTCGATTTAATGCTTTGATTTTGGACTATACTTTCTTGCATCAGTTTTGGTTGACTGGGTTCTAATTTGACGGATAAAATGTTTGGGTGGTTGTCGTTCCGCCTGGCGTGACAACCCCCAAAGCGTTTCCCGATGGCCTCTGATGATTTCTGTATGTTGGATTTTCCCTGCAGCACTCGATCGTTCGACGGCCTATAGTACCACAACTCCAGCAAAAAAGTCTCCTAGGCTTTGTGCATTCTCGTGCAAAATGATTTCTTTCCCCACATCTACGACAAGCATTACGCACGTCCACCTTTTCGCTCTGTGTTCTATTAATGGCAATCGGTGGTGACCAATCCAGAGTGCATTGGCGTTCTCTACTACTTAGTTGTGTAAGACGTTCGAATTCTTCTGCTAGTTTGCTTAATTCTCCCAAGGAGCTAAATTCACGCGGTTTGATCTGGAGCTGATACTCTGGTCTACTATTCCGGTAAATCCGACTTAACTGTTGTCTTTCTGTTAACTCAGCATATCGCATCAACTCTTGTAGTGCTAGGGCATAGTCTTGGAATGACTCCGTCTTCTTCTGGTATTTGTTCCGAATTGTGTCTTCTAATTGCTCTAAATAATTAGAAGGCAAGAAAAACTCTCGAACATCCTGAACAAAACTTGACCAGTGTGTCCACTTCCGATTGTTATTCCGGAACCACATTAGGGCTTTTCCTTTCAGTATTTCTGGCATAAGTCTTGGCAGAATGTCTCGGGGAATGTTATAAGTTTCGGAGAGTGTTTCCAAATTTTCCAAAAATGGTAATGGACTTGTTTCACCATTAAAATGTACCTCCCAATTACGCACTTGATTGGCGATTCGCGCTATGTCTTCAAATTTGCTAGTCATCATGGTTGGCTCTGAAATGTGTATTTTTGGCGTGTCGATTTCGATGCCTGGAGGTTTGGGTGAGAGACTGCGATCGTATTTAGTTTCCATGTCCATAATTATATCTAGTAATTTTCCCGTGTACTCCTCAGTTGCTAGATGATCACGTACACGTTTCCGTAGTTCCTCAACGGTTCCTGATGTACTGATCTTAATTTCTTCTAGAATTTGAACCAAATCCTCTTTACGCGCTATCGAAATCCATGCTGTTTTGACCATGTTACCTCGTGTACCGTCTAATGACTCTTTGCGTTAAACGTTTGTACACTTACTCGTCCTGTTCCTAGTTCGTTCTTTTCTAAAACACGGTCCCCTGTTCAACGTTCGTTCTTTTCTAAACAACGTCCCTGTTCAACGTTCGTTCTTTTCTAAAACCTGGTCCCTGTTCAACGTTCGTTCTTTTCTAAAACCAGGTCCCTGCTCGGGCGCCAATTGTAACGACACTTTTGGTGACGTTCAAAAATTTTTAGTTTTTGCTGGGGTATCCTCAGCCGTCGTCCAGAGTCGTGACAATATATTTATAATTTTGCCGAGACGTTGGTTTTAGAAGAAAACAGAACGTGATTTATATGTATAAATTATGTATATAACTTTATTATTTCATAAACTTATGATTAACAAAGTTTAATTAAAATTCATTGGAAACATTTCTAATAATAAATAAAAAAAATTATGTTGATGCCAAAATTTCCCACTTCTCCATATATTCCTTGTTAAAAGAATCTTAGCAAAACCCGTGTGACTTCTTAAGCCCCTCTTCTGTTGTTAAAAAAATAAACAAAACGTTTCCTCCGTGCTGTAAAAAACTATTTGACCGAATAAGCCAGGTTAAAAAATATACATATAAGACAGGAAAGGAATTTTACACTACGTTTGATTCAAAGAACCAGATTTGTGGCACAATGTGCCAGATGACCAATAGGCCAGTGTACTTGTTTCAGGAAAAGTAAAATTTCAAGTTTGGTAAAATTTACCAGAAGGCCCAATGAGCCAGAGTACTTGCTCTTTCACTTGTCGCAACCCAAGTCCCTGATTATATAAAATGTACCTCCTTTTATATCGAGCATACCGGAGCTTTTTGGTGTAGCGTACCGGTATTCTTTGCTGTACTTGACTTCGCCGTGAAGTTGAACTTTGTGTTCTACTGTTTTCTCACTTCTTCTGCTTCGCCGTGATTTTTTTAGTACTTTTACTACGCGCCGTGTTTCTTTATTTCGTGTGTTATTCCTTTTTAGTTTATATTATATTAAATATTATTACATTAAAAGTAAAGTGTTTTAATACTACAAAACAAGGTATTAAATATACATATATATTCTGTGAATTTAATATTATCTAAATGTGAACAGAAAAGAAATATTAAAAGAAATAAAATTGATGTTGGCGTGCTTAGTTTTGTTTTGTTGTGTTTTGTTTATAAAAATAAAATTGTACAAACATGAGTGTTAAATTGTTTTGTGTATTATTTTATTTATATATATTTCAAATAGATCTTTGTTCAATAATTAAACGTGTTTTCTGTGATAAGTGTTACATTGTTTTGTGTTTTGTTTTATTTCTATATAATTGTAGAAAAATAGACATTTGTTTAAAATTTATACATGTTTCGCCGATAATTGTTCATTGTTGTTGCGTTTATAAGTGTTCCATTCATAAAAGTTTTAACCAAACGTTGATTTTGTTTTTCGTATATTTTTAGAATTTGCACATTTCATGTAGCGATGCCCGCGGCACATTGGCATCGAGGATCCCAGGTAATGTCCATGATATTTCAAATAAATATTTTAATTCAATTTTATATTTTCCAGTTAAGTCGCCTTCAGTGATTTTCATGTGAGTTGTTAGATATATTATGTGTAGTGGTGGCGGTTATTTAACACACAGACTGTGTTTTTCTCTGCTTCTTGTTTTATGTAGCACAGAAATTTACTTTGTAAATTTGTGTCGTTACAGCCTTCATATTGTTGAGTCTCTTTTTTATTAAAAATTTTAGAAAAAAAATTAACTTAACAAAAGTGTATATCATATCCCGATATGGTCGGAGAGAGAGATTACGTGAAGCACCTCATCTGGTCTACTACTACTACTAAACGGAAATCTGATTCATTAATATTATCTATCACCACAATAAATCAATAACTAAATAACGCAGGGTTTTTTATAAACACAATATTTTTTTAATAAAACATGATAATATTAATTTTATATTATCTTGTACTACATTGGCAATATATCTATAAGTAAGTTTTACGAGGAATTGGATGAGACCGCGAAATGTGAACTCTTAGCATGTCTTGCACTGACATATTAATTTTTAGAAAGGTGACTAGCTACGTGTAATATCAGATAAAGTTCTGACAAATGAGCACTAAGATAAGTTGCTATATTGTAATATCTATAGTAAAGATATAGTAGAACTATCTGTAGTTATATCAGCTAAAGTAATAAGACTCGGTAAAGTAGGCTCGATATTACAATTTATTGAAAAGATTGAATTTTATGCTTTGAATCTGTGTAGAAAACTGTATATATCTCCAAGTTCTTTGAAGTTTTTAAGTATCTTAATTGTAACGAAATATATTTGTTCCTTACATAAACTAAATAATATTTTATTTTACAAAATTATCATTCGTATCGCTCTGTTGGGAGACGTATGAGTATCATCTAAGAACTGTAAAATCATAAGATAAAAAACTAAAAAGTTTGATTTTGAAGAAACGTGCCTTACAATTTAGGGCAAGGTGCAATAATGAATTTATAGATGCGGATTCGAGCTGTCCTGCGTTTTTGTAGTTCCGGATACAGACTTTTAAATAGATTTTACATTGCACTGCAGCAACTATGATATAAGTATTCATCAGAGTTTGTGATGGTTCTTTTCGATTTTTCTTAGATTAGTTTATAGAGTGGTGATGGGGCAGTTATTTTTTTTCCGTTCTAATAATGAAAATAGTGACAAGTCACTATTCGTTTTAGAAGTCAATTTCTATGCAAATTGCAATCAAAAACAAATAATTATTAAAGTTTATATGCTAAGACGGAAGATAGTATATGTTTTGAATTATTTTATAAACCTATTTTGTCATTTACCCTACTCTTGTATAGTGACCATCTCATTTGCATCTGGCATCGATGATGAAACCTCATCCATCTGCAGGCTTGCCTGCCTGACTTACTTCAACGCAAAAAAAGTTGAAATTTTTTTGTATCTTTTTCTTTTCATTTCGGGCCACTAAATTAAGTAGAAATTAACACGCCTCGGGCGTCTTGCTTCTTCATCACTTTCGTATTTTTATTTTTATTTTTATTTTTATTTTTATTTAACAAATTTTCCTCAAGGATTTGGAATTTTGGTTGCTGCCATTTTTGTGGCTGCGGCAGTTGCTTGCATTTGCTTAGCGTCGATACCGCTGCTGGCGAAGATGAAACTGAGGTTGATGCTGAAGCTGAAGCTGATGGTGGCGAAGTCGAAGTTGATGCTGGTGAAGATGAAGCTGATGTTGGCGAAGCTGTAGCTAATGCTGAAACAGTGGAGAGGTTGGAGTAGATCAAAGCAGATCAAAAATTAAGGAAAATCAAGCGCAAACATTGCAGAACTCAAGAAATCAACTTACTTCCTTATTTGTTTGTTTGACTTGCCTTCTGAGGACTTCTTTTCATCTCTTTTTTTGTTTAGTTATAAAAATACTGAAGTACTGAGATATTTAATTTTGCTTTATAAATTTTTTTTGGATTTAGGCGTATTTGATGTTTGGTTTCGTTGTTGACGGTTTGATTGGAGTGCTGTTTGCGTTTGGTTTTCGCTTGTTTATCTTCTGCTTGGAAATTGTACTTGAAACGAATGCATCCGAAAATTTAATTTCAAATGTAAATATAAGCACAGCGTTCTGTGGGTTCTGTCGGTTTGCGGGTGCGTTGGAAAAATCTCGGCAACGACGTATGCAACCTGCAACGTACTCTGGCATAGAGATGTAGCAATGCACATCAACAAATTAATTTGTTCCAATAGAGAATATATTGAGAAAGCATTTATTGAATGACTATTTGACGTTCATGGAATAAATAAGTAAATGTTTAAAATATATTTTACCCACAAATTTGTGGGTAATTGGAGCAAATTGCTTTATCTATTACTTCGTACATCTAGTCTTGGTGCATAAAAATCATAATCAGTTCTCGAAATATTGAAAGTGTTGCTGCCCAGCAACTGAAACTGAGTCAAAATTTCTAATGAATCTTTAGCTGAAGCCATTTCGAAAACAATGCCTTCATCTATAACAGCAACATTCAAAATTTGATATTCCAAAGTCGGTATCTTTAGATCCTGTCTGATCACTTTACGTACGATATCGATTGCGCTTTGTTTGGCATCTACCAATACTTTTTCTTCCGAAATCTTACTAAGTAACAATTTGTTATTGAAATGACCGTCCGTCAGTGCAATGTCCAGCGCAGTTCTTAGAAATTTTTGGTGCTTACCATTGAAAACTTGGTCAGCAGATTTAGAAATATTCTGATTCAGTTCATTACTATTATTACTTAATAACGGAACATGATCTACAATAAAGTCGACTTCAACATCGGTATTTGATTGCATCGGTTTTAAAGAATATAAATCCAATTTCTTTATATACAAGAATGTGCTGGGCTTATCTGCAAAAAATAATCAAGCAGTTTAATTTATTTTCGTGACAAAGATGTTACTTAAAGCCTCACTTTGTATAGTATAATTAAATTTTATTCTATTTGATCCGTACACATTGTCTAAGGTGACTTCTAGCACATCATTGATAAAAAAAATTTGCGGTTGAGTATTTTGAAAAGTTATTGTTTGTGGGTTTTTCGTACCCACAACTTCAAAGTCAATAGGCTCACTCCTTCTGGGCTTAGTCACTTGAACCAACATCCTGGTGGGCTTTGACTCATATGGCAAATTTAAATTAAATCTTATAATTCCTGTTGACACATATGGCTCCACTTTGGTTCGTATAGCCACATAGCTGCCGTCAACCTGAGCCACCATTGTCAAGAGTCTCACTAACAAAATTAGGTTGGTGAATATTTTCAATATACTCCACATGTCTTTGAAGCACAAATATATTATAAATTAAATTTAAATAAAAATAGTAATAAATAAAATATTAAAACTATTCGTTCCGTTGTGTACGGCTAGAAGTTCGAGCAACTAATGACGTATATTCACTAAGCTGAACTCTTCAACTCAACTGCTGATGTTATTTTTAAATTCGAGTAACGACAGATGCGACGCCTGCTTTTTCGATAAGAGACTTGATTAGGGTTCCAGAGCTGAGCACACACACGACGTCATACACAGTATAGCAGCCAATATGCTTGTTTGGATAAGAGTGCATTATATATTTTCGTCACTAGGTTTGTCTCACTCACACATAGGTTGTCCATACATATTATTGAGCTAATTTTATTTTAATTAAAGTACATGCAAAAATAATATGCATTGTAATAATAAGTGTTCATTGATGAGTGCAGCAGTAAAAATTTCTAGCACTACACATTTGTATTGAGTATTCCCCAGATCAGAAGCTGTGATAACTTTCAGTATCCACTAAGCATTGGTAGGATTGCACCATCATCATTAAATCTACATCTGAAAAAAGTTTATTGATGTTTTCATTACAGAGTGCTCACATATATTCGTATGATGATCATCGTTTAACCACAAAAATAACCAAAATATTCCTTTTATTAAAATTTATTTTTGTCTTGAACTTATTGAGGACTTAAATCACAAAACTAAAAAGGAATGACTATACTTGTTCAATAAATACTTTCTTTGATCCATGTAATAATCATGATCGTTACTTTCAAACTTATGTAAACTCATATCAGTCGCATTTCTATTCTACTTCAAATCAATTCTAAATATGACAACTTAGAACTAAATTCAAATATTATTTGCTATATGAGTTCTTATGGACTTAAATGAACCCTTTTTGATGGAAAGTACGTACTGCTACACCAAAAAAAAAAAATTAAAAATTAAAACAAGTTCTAAAGAGACACACATGTCTTGAAAATAAAAAATGCTTGATCAACCACGACTTTGTAATACCGAATGATACTCTTAATATTCGGAAATATATTGATAAGATATCTGTTATATCTGTTATTATTAGCAATTGTCTAAATTGTTCTATTTTCTTCTTCAAGTATAATTATTTTACTGCAGTAATTATATAGTATATAGCATCAATTTGAGAGAGTACAATCCATTTGATTTACTTTAGAATTTTGTCAAATTTATTATATAAGTACATATTTATTAGAAAAATTCTTATGCCCGTTATAAACAAATGGTCTACTAGAACTATAATAGCATAGTAATATTGACTTTATCACTGTATATAAGTTCTGAAGACTTGCTTTTATTATACTAGCTCAGGTCAACCGAGAGGTTTTACATGTTTAAAGTGACTTCTACCTATTATTAGCCCTCTTAGTAATACACACGGAATCTTTAACTGGTGACCCTAAAAATACATCAATCAAAACGGCAGGGTGGATTCAACTCTTTACTATAAAATTTTATATATTTCTATAACCGGGGTACCAATTGACTGCGATGTCAGCGAGTCTATTTTAACTCGACAATTTCAACATTTATTATAAATATAACTTTATTTATTATCATGTTTATTATTTTTATTTGAAACAAAATTATTATTTTTATAATTGTTATCCAAGCCATCATTGTTATTATTCTAATTAATATAATATTATTTTTCAATAAAACTATTATCATCATGTTTTACAATCATCATCAGCTTTATTAAAATTAGTATCATAATACAAGCATTTTCAGCGTCGTAATCACCAATATCATATTTAGTAACTGAAAATCATTATAATTATCTTCACTATTTATCATTAGAATAGTGATAACAATTATCAATATCATCACCATCATTATCAACATTATACATCATTTTCACCCATCGTTATCATCGTCAACTATCTTCATTTTTATAGGAGGTATCATCATTATTATCAGTACCATCATCATTATAATCGTCATAATTGTCATTATCAACATCATCATTATCATCATCATCATTGTAGTCATTAAAACTGCTATCATTAATAATAACATTGTTGACAATATCATTATCATTAACTTTAACAACATCATCCATCATCAACGCCAGCTTTTATGCTTTTTTGTCTCAGATTCTTGTCACTTTTTCAATTCCAAAGTAAAACGGACCGCTTCTATTGACAAAGGTTCTTCCAAACCTTAGTATGTTGATATTTTGAGTATGTAGCGCTAGATGATTTTTTGTTTATTTTGATGATAAGCGTAATCACATTCTGAAAAACACAAAACAGTCTTTAAAGCTAAACAATCATGACATTTTTGATCTCTTCACCCCTTGCAGTAGAATCACTTAATTAGTAAGTATTTTGAGAATAAGAGATGCTCAACTTCCATTCCAAATTTTTTAATAGAAATACTCATGGTAATCTCTGTGATTAAATAAATACACGAATTCTCTTGCACACCATAACTAACATATATGTATGTATTTCAAACATGTTTTAAAGATTTCTAGACAGTTCACTATAGGTAATAAGTCACCATCATTATGGTGAGCGTTATTTTTGAACCCATGTATGTATTACATACATCTCCAATATTGTTATTATATAAAATATTGATCAAATGAGAGAAAGCCACGATTATTATTAGTCTATAATACTATAATACTGAATAACTGAGCCTATCGTTTTGAGCAAATTTTGTGTAAGCCATGGCTTTTGTGCCGTATCGTTAGTTCTTTTAGATATTACTCTTATTGCACCGTATATTAATGAAATCTGCTAAGTAATCTATCACCGTTATCAGTGACTAACCAAAGCGAGTATGGTCAATGGACCAACTATCCAAAAAATTCACCACTTTACTTAGTGGGAAGAACTACTCTTCTATAATATCAAATATTACTACAGTTAATGTAAAGCGAAGCAAGACGTATAAGGCTGATATTGCGTACAGATAACTATGAATGAAAGAATATATAAACAAATGAATATATATGTGGTTTCTCCCACCGATTGCCTTCATATTATATACAAACACGATTTACAACGTATTTTATTTAGTCAAAATTCTTTATCAAATATATTTATACAAAACTATTTTTTACACCGTTCGCGCACACGACATACTCTGCGCACTGCACCTTTACTACTCCTCCTGTTCATTCTGTCTTTCGTTCGTTGTGTCATTTTCTGTCAGTGTTACCCTTTGCCGTCTTTATGTCAGTGTTGCCCTGACAAAGGGTTGTCTGTCGTTATTATGTCTGGGCACCATTCTAACATATATATATATATATATATATAGAGATAAAGACTAGGTCATATTTTCAGCGGAAGACAGTTCTTAATACCTAGTTATCCTTACTTTTAACTAAAGCTTGGTATTTGCAAAAGCCTGTCAGAAAGCATGTCCTCTTTCAATTGAATTTAAACGACTTGATAGCATCTTGTGAGTATTACCATCATAGAAGAAAAACTGTTCTTCCCTATCTCTCGAACTTCGTCCAATGAAGTATCATCATCGTGGACTATTTATTGCGGATGCTGCCCTTAAAAAAATAATATATTCCAAAGCTCTCTCTTCTTCGAATATCAAAGCCTGCCCGTCGTTACGATAGATGCATATGAATCTGTATTAATTTCGGTTTCTGCTACTTTCTGCTGAAGATCACTTTGTGCTACTCTTCAGTAAAAGTACTGGTATGCTAGAACTTGTGATTTAACTGATAAACACAGTTTTGAAGTATTGATATTAACGTGGGCTTTCAAGCATTCTTCCCTATCGAAACCCATTCACCGAAGCTTAGTGAAACATCAGTAGCGCCAACGTGCATGCTTATGCAGATCTATTCTTAGACAAATAGGGGCGATATTACTTAACTGACTCCACAACTTCTCACTATAAGAATTAGTTATATAAATGCGTTCATTATTGCAACCAGCTGATTGTGCAATAGGAAACTCTGTTCCAAGTTCCAAGAAGCTTTTAATGTAACTGAGAAGGATTTCATTTTCTTCTATATCGCCTATTGATATACTTTATGTTATTTGATATACTTCATTAATCAACTTAGATTTTATTTGTATGTTATAGATATTAAAATTCTTTTCATTTCCTGCAAAAAGGAGGGTTACGGAAAGTATAGAATTTTATTTTATTGTTATAAATAAAATTTATTATATATTATATTAACATATGTCATATATTTTGTGACATATGTATTCTCACAAAATAATAAAATATTTTATTCACATTTTTTTTGTACTAGTAAATTTTTTATTAGTTCTTTTAATTTTATTAAAGTTAATTTTTTTTTTATAATAATACTGAATATGGAGAACATAAAACAAAATGCTTTCTACTTTTATTAATAATGTAAAACTGAAAAATAAAACAAAGACTATTAAGTGCAAGACAGAAGAAATCAAGTCACTGAAGTTTTCACAACCCTGCATTTGACTTTGTAAGGCTTAAGTAATCTCTCTTCATCATCACCATTGTTTCGTCTTAGGACTGCTCTAATCAATCAATCTGCAATAAATTTTTCAACATTTAATTTCTCAAACAAAAGTCAATGTTTACAGAAAAAATAAAGCGAATTGCATTACCAATTTCATTCTGACAGTCTTTTCCACTCCGGTCTGCAAATAACAGCACCGCGCAAATCGCGGAAAGGATTCCGCTGTCGCTTCACTCGACTCGCAGCCGCAACAACTGTGCCGAGTGGCCGCAGGAATCCAATTATATTAACTTAAGTGAAGCGGTTATTGAAAGATTTCTTTGAAAGATTAGAACGCTGTCTGTGTTTGATTCCAGAAAGAAGCTTCTTTGAAATGAACAAGTTCCGTGTAATTCTGTTTTCCATTACGTTTTATTGTGCTTAGAACTTTTTCTGAAATTATTCAGGAAAAACGAGGGAAACACAACAAAGATTGCCATCAATGTTTTTAATAGAATTAAATTTATTTCTCGTATCTGTGGGTGTACTAGTGGGTGAGGAGGTAAATAAAAAAAATTTAATTAAGATTTTTACGATTTCT